AATTACTAAGGCGATCCTAACTAAGCTTTTTATGTTGTCTACTGGGCCCCAGCCAACTCTTTGAAGGGCCTACGCCAACAGGTGCTAGCAACAGCCGAGACAGCGGTTATACGGCCGATGAATCCAGTGCTGTTCTTTCAGAAGACGCTAATAAAGAAGCCAACTCCATGGGGCGATTGTGCCTCGCCTCTAGTCCCTTGGTGTCAGATTTTCACTAAATGCATGTGACAGTGAGTTTAACTTCGCGGACTCGACCCGTGACCAATATTCACAGCCTATCCTATTTTCCCCCTTTCCCAGTACTATGCCCTTTAATGATCGATCTGTTCATGTGGGCTTTGTCAATACGATGACTCGTAATTATAAGACAGTAATAAACCCTATATAAATTTTTCATTTTTATTATCAATACAACTGTAAAGGTTCGATGATCAGTTGCTGAATAAAAATTTTTGCCCAATGCACTTTTCAAATCCGAAAAGCGTCATGCTCCGAATCAGTAGCACAGCATTTAAACTGAACTGGTGTTCATAAAAGAAATAATATAAAAGATTGCTCTATTGTCCCTGCGGTGTTTTCTAGCGCTCATGGATGAAAAATATCAGCAGGTACAAAATGACAAGTTTGGCTTGCAAGTACCGCCGTAAACCAATGGCTTGCTTAACCCCAGCGCTGATATATTGGGAGGCCGCTACAATGCGTCACGAATTCGGTATAAAGTAACACCCTGATGCGAGAAAATCATCAGTTTCCAAAGCCCTGCCTATACCATAACCAGATGTTCATCGATATGACAGGTTACCCAGTTTCACGTTATGCGGAATGCACTGCGACGACTCAGGCTTGATTACAAATGAATTGTTTCATTTCATTGCTTAAGTGCTTCACCCCGGTAGAGCTTTTAGTTAAATTGGCGACAGTTAGAAAGTTGCGTTCGTCGATTTATATTCCCACCTCCGTTCAAAAGAGTTGACATGCGCGCGCGAACTTGTATAAAGTGGCAGTGGCCCTCCACTTCATCTGCCAAACTTTCTCTTCCCTCACTTGCCCGTGTCAGGATAGAGTCAAGACTGGGCAGAGGGGGGAACCGGGCGCAGGTGGCTCGTACGAAAAAATTACCAACCAACGTGCCAGCACGTGCCTTTCCCCACAACAAACACCGGACCAGGGTTTAAGCCGACGAAGAAGAGCTTAGGGGTGGCAGCGGCATGGATCAAATCTCCCGCTGCCTCGGTCTGCCTGCCAACATAAACGCCTGCTTACACCTTACACTCACCCATAATTTGCACAACGAATGGGCATTTTAACGGCTACAGGACTGCCCCTTATTTTCTGGTTTGACTATCTTTTTACAACAGTAGCTTCTTGAGACATATCTCTATGTTATAACATTGTGCGTTCCTGTGTGAACACCGGTTATGTCCCACAGTTACGTGTTAGGAAGAGAAAGCAGAACAGGATAGCAGATAGTGCTTTACTGTCAGTTGTATTAGAACATTAGCTGTGTCTCCTGTGTGTCCAGCAGCTTGTTTTCTGTGTCCGTCAGCAGCTTCTGTTCTGTCGTCGTCTTGGCCAACAGCATTCCGTGTCTCTAGCAGCCGTGTCGCGGTTCGCTTACAGAAGAATCTCCGGTTGGCAGTAGCGCGTCTCCAGCAACAGAAAATGCCGCCTTCTCTACCGTCAAAGTCTCGCGTGTTTCCTCTTTGTTATCCTGCCTCGAGGACGGCGCGAGTATTGGGCCCTCCCAAAACTCTATCAGGAAGAAGACACGCATAAAGCTTATTCCACTAGGGAGAAAAATGCAGTAACATACATGAACGGGAAAATCCCTTTAATTTACTTGGAATGTGAATTTTTCGGTAAATATACGAAAAAGAAGGGAAAATGAAAGATTGCCTTGAGAAGTTATGTACAGGCCAACTCTCGTCTTCATAAATAGTGCTCAGTAAATTACCTCTTTATTGGATTCTACTGCTTTCCGTGACCTTCATTCATTAAAACGGGCACGGAGGCTTACTCCCAGATGGTCACAAAGATTGCATGTAAACTTTTACGGAGACGGGACCTCCCATGCACTCACAACAGTCGGCGAAAAGAACTGGCTAGCTGAGTCATGTTCGCATGCAAGCCGCCCACGCTGTGCTTCGAGCACACTAGACGACCGCCAACATAGCGTGGGCAGTGGCCGCAGTCGAGAAGGTTCCAGAAGGCCCAGGCGCACACCATACGTTGCGAATGTTCTAGAACGACAAGATTATTATAAATATCCAAGAATGGTTGAGCTTAAAAAATCGCGAACTTCGTTGTCTTTGTGTGGTGCTAAATAAAGCCGTTGTCAACAAAACAGTTCTGTTGCCTTTATCTGCGTACCAGTCGGATCAGATCACACTAGGCTATAACATAAACATTATTATTTAAAGTGGAACTGACAAAGGCAAGAGAACATGTAAGCCCCAGGAAGTAATTCAGAAGAAGACGGCTCGATCGCTGGGACAATACGTTCATCCGCCTGACGTTTCGATATCCATCGCGGTTTTCATTATCAGAGGCATCAGAGACCCCTTTTGCTACTGTTTTCTGCTAATGTCTCCGATGATGAGTCCTCGACGGAAATCGAAACGTCAGTTGAATAAACTTATTGTCCCGGCGATCGAGTCGTCATCTTCTTAAATACAAGAGAGACCGGAATGACGGGCTTATTAGCTGCTATCAGTCAATCACACCCAATTCTGGGGGTTAACGATCCCGCGATCCGAACCCGCTGCTTGTGTTTGGTTCTTCATTATCATAAATAACAAGTCGCTGTGCGGCTGACCGGGAGAGGTCAAGATTGAGCTTAAAGGCACAACTGGACGAGCATGTTCCCTAACCAGATCAGTGAACGTCCTATTACAGTAGTC